GGGTAAGGACGTTTGCTGCCAAACCTGATTTTGATGACTGGAACCCACATCTTGGAAGCAGAGAACGAATTCCTTAAAAATATTCTCTGACTTCCATACCTGGTACATATATACACATACACAAACTAATGTAAAAAGTAACTCAGCAGAGGGCCTGAAGAGATGGCTCAGAGGTTAAGAGTACTGGCTGCTCTTTCAGAGGTCCTGAGTTCAATTCCCAGCAACCACATGGTGGCTCACAAGAATCCATAAAGAGATCTGGTGCCCTCTTCTGACCTGCAGGGACACAGGCAGACAGAACACTGTATACATATAAGCCTTAAATTTTTTTTTGTACAGCAGAAATACATTTAAAACAGTAAAAATCCTGTTTGTTTCTGTGTATGTTACCGGATCAGTTGTCATTAGCAGCCAGAAGAGTGTCAGATACCCTAAGACTCCTCACAGACAGTTGTGACTTGCCCAAGGCTGACGCTGAGAACTGAACTCAGGTTACTCTTAACTGCTGAGTAACCTCTCCAGCTTCCAAGTCCCATATTGTTGTCATGGACAAGTATATTTAATTATTTTAATAGGCAATACAGTGAATATTTACAATAATTAAATTATGAAGACTTGGTTGGTTATTCTAAAATAACAAAACTATATTTAATTCAGCAAGTACAGGTAACGCTGGCCTGGAATTGTGTAGCCAAAACTACCTCAATTTTGCAATCTTCCTGTTTCAGCCTATTTTGAAAATTTAACAGATTAAATATGAAAGTTTAATTCTAGAAAGACATATAAGACCATTAAGACATGCAGTCAGGTCACTTGAAACTTACTAATTTACATGTCTGTTTGTCTGTCTGTGTGAATGTATGTTCTGTATGAGTGGATACTCAGAGGCCAGAAAGAGGGTGTCAGAGATCTTGAGAAGACAGGAAGCACTCATAATCACTGAGCCATCTCCTCAGTGTCCAAATAGCTTTTTCTGAGATATTTCTCTCTATGCAGCCCTGGCTGTCCTGCCAGGTTAGCTTTAAACGAAGAGATCTGCCTGCCTCTGCCTCTGGGATTAAAGGAGTACAAAAGCACAGCCCTGCTAGCTAAAATTTATTTAGAATTTATTGTTTGTGTTCATCATGGTGCCAATATGCAAGTCAGAGGGCAACTTAAAGGAGTTGTCTTTGAACCTTCAACTGCTGTCTTCCAGGAATAGGCTAGAAAGCTTCCTTTTCTTCCTCCCTTCCCTTTTTTTCCTCACTCTACTAATGACTGAATCTAGATCCCCACGTATTCTAGGCAAATGCTCTAACTCAGTTATATCCTCATCTCTCTTATTTTTCATTTTGAGACAGTCTTACTTAGTTGCCCAGGTTGGCCTCGAACTTGCAGTTCTTCACCTCAGCTTCTTCAGTAGCAGATATTATAGGCCTGTACTACCAGGCCTTGCTTCATTGACTTTTAATGTATAGAGTATCATAGAAGAATCCAAATATACAGTTAAGCCACAGAGCCTGATGAAAGGGGGGAATAGATACATTTACAAATAATAGTTCTAAAACTAAAAGAAAAAATAATTTTGAGACCTTTTTTTTTTCTTCTGTGTAGCCCTGTCTGTCCTAGACTAGCTCTGCAGACAAGGCTGGCCTCAAACTCCTGAGATTCACCTGCCTCTGCCTCCCGAGTGCTGGGATTAAAGGTGTGCACCACTACCACCTGGTTTAAAACACTAAATCTTAATAGGAGTTATTTCATAAAGCAACAAATACAGGAACATATTTAATTCTTACAAGGCATGCACTATTATTACCATAATAATGGAGAACTAAGGCTCAGTGTGGTGGTTTGAATGAGAATGGCCTCCTCAGGGTCATATATGTGTATGCTTTATCTCCAGCTGATTAACTGTTTGGAAAAATTAGGAGGCACGTTCTTGTTGGAGTTTTCAACTGGGGTGCTGGTGGGGAAGCCTTTAATCCCAGCACTGGGAGGCAGAGGCAGGTGATCTCTTGAGTTTGAAGCCAGCCTGGTCTGTCTACCAAACAAAAACAACTAATGCCAGGCCCAGTGTCTCTCCACCCTGTCTACTTCTTAACATGGTAACCATGGACTAATCTTCCAAAACTGTAAGCAAGGCCCCAATTAAATGCTTTCTTTTAGAAGAGTTGTTCATGGTGTCACTTCACAGCAACAGGACAGTAATAAAGACATCAAAGTTTACAACTGCTCTCAGCATTACAAATGGGACAAGCTCAAGCCAATCAGTAGTGTCTGAGGAGACCAAAGCTTTAAATTGGGTCCTGCTGAACCGACATCTTACTGCCTGATTTTAATGGGTGAAGAATAAAACCCTGCAAAAACTAGCTTTCTCCGACTAGAAAAACGAATTTTCTTCCATGGACTTATTACCAGGGCAAGACACTACATAACATTCAAATATGACTTGTATGCAAGAAGGCAAGAAAGTGTACGTCTGACTATGCATCAGAAACCTAATTCTTGGGGCTTGGCTCAGGACCTTTTGCTGTTCCAGAGAACCCGAATTCACCCATAGTAGTCATGCCAGAGGGGTCACAACCTCTGGCAGATCCGGATCCAATGCCGTCTCAGCACCCACGTGCACAAACACAGACGCGCAATTAAACATGTCTGTGAGCATCAAAAAACAAACAAAAAAACCTCACCATAAACTTAAAAATGTTTGCAAGGGTACAAGAATGAGGAACGGTACTTCCAACCCCGCCTCCATACAAATTCATTGTTTTTGTGACACGGTCTCACTTTTTAGCTTAGACCAGCCTCGAACACACAGTAATCCTCTAGCCTCAACCTCCTAAGTATTGGCCCCAAAGTCAAGCGCAACCACGCCCAGCTGCAAACGCACTTTTCCCCTCCCAACCCCCGAGACAGGGTCTTTCTGTAGCTTTGCTGGAATTCTCTTTGTAGACCAGGCTGGATTCTGCTTCCCTAGTGCTGGGATTAAAGTAGTGAGCCACCAAGCCTGGCTTTTCAAACGCACTTTAAAAAATAACTTTTTTTATTTTATGTGCATTGGTATTTTGCCTGCATGTGTATCTGTATGAGAGTGTCAGATCTTGGAGTTACGGACAGTTGTGAGCTGCCGTGCAGGTGTTGGGAATTGAACCCGGGTCCGCAGGAAGAACAGCCAGCGCTCTTAACCACACTGAACCATCTCTCCATCCCCTCAAGTGCACTTTTTAAAGCTGTGAGTTTCCGGTTCCTCACAGGCAACCACGCGCCTGGGTGTCGACGGCTGCCTTGGTCCCTAACCGGGTAGCCCTCGGGTCGCCCGCTGAGACTTTAGCTTTGGGAAGGCGGAGGAACCGCCACTGCCGTAACCATGCCGACCGGACCATAGGGCCACTTCCGGCTCCCACGAGCGCCTGGAGCACGGCCGCAGCCTAAGCGAGGCGGGAGGATGGTTTGCGCGGCCGGGAGGCGTCGGCCGGACCGGCTTTACTCACTTCTTCAGTTCGGGAGGGTGGGCCTTACTCATGGCGACTCTTCGGCGGGCTCGGCACGATGAAAAGGAGCGGGCAGACTCACAAACGCACGCGCGGCAGGCCTGGCGCTAATGTCTGACGTCACAGCCACGCGGGGCAATCGTTTTCCGGCAGTCATTACCTTCATCTCGCGATACTGAGGGCACAGGAACTAGCTCCACGCTTCCGGTTGCGTCAGTGAGGGGCGACTACCAAGAGGCGGGGCCTCGGCTAGGCTTCCTTTGTGTAAAACCGAAGTGGCCGGTCCTGTGCTTCTTTGCGCGTCACTTGCTTCCTTAATTTTTCCCTTTCCTTTTTTCTCTTTACGTTTTCGTCATTTCTCCTTTCCTTTCCTCCTCTCCCCTGCCCTCCTTCGTTTTTGATGCAATTCATGCGGGCCTCGAGCTCACCGTGTAGTCGAAGCTAAGAACCCATCTTCCTGCCTCTGCCTCCTGTGCTAGGATTTAGGTGGCTGCACCACGCAGTCCTTCATTTCCTAACACCCAAGCGAAGGTTAACGGTTCCTGAAGCTCCAAAATGAATGGCTTCTCTGCACCAGCAGCGGGAGGCTGATTCTAGGATGTGAATCCAGAGCCAGGAGTATCCCTGACCTAGTCCTGCAGTTCAGGATCCACTGTGGCCAGAACTTCACTTAGCACATCGCACCCTCTGCTCATAAAATGTGAGGCGTGCCACACGACAGCCCTGAGATTTGAGCCCGCCTCTTTCTGAGTGCTGGGACTAAAGGTGTGCCTTTTCCCAGGGGTAGCACTCCCTCAGTTAACTAGGCTTTCTCCCATCAGTCATTAAGAAAACATCCCCAGACATGTTGTCTACAGACAGTGGGAAGCAGTTCTTCAACTGAGGTTCGTTTTTCGAGACAGGGTTTCTCTGTAGCTTTGGAGTCTGTCCTGGAACTCACTTTGTAGACCAGGCTGGCCTCGAACTCACAGAGATCCGCCTGCCTCTGCCTCCCCAGTGCGCCACCAACGCCGGGCTTCAACTGAGGTTCTTACCATGTGACTAGTTTGTGTCGTTGTCAAAACAAACCAGCACAAATAGTTTATACTCTTCCCCCACTTGATGCTAGGTGAAACAAGTAAAGGAACATACTAAAAGACTTGGCCTTTTTTTTTTTTTTTTTGAGGTCTCCAGTATGTAGCCCAGGCTGTCCTCAAGCTAGGGGTTCAATCTTCCTCTCAACCTTAGAAGTACTGAGTTTACAGGTATGCATTCCTAATCCTTTTTCTTTCCTGGAGGGGATTTCGAGATTGGGTTTCTCTGTGTAGCCCTGGCTGTCCTCGAACTCCGAGATCCGCCTGCCTCTGCCTCCCAAGTGCTGGACTAAAGGTGTGTGCCATCACTTCTCAGCTCTGGGTATCTTCTACATTAACAGACTTCAAGCTATGATGCCCTGACTTTCTCTTAGTGTTTTCCATCCACTACTATGCACTCTCAGGATGTCTTGAAATTCAGAGACATACTGATAGATCACTACCCACTAGGAAAAAGTTGGAGACAATGAAACTTTATTTAAAAACCAAACCACTTGGAAAATATATTGCAAACTGACAAGTATTATCGCTGTTTCAAGTAATTAATTGGTATAAATACAACATAGTACTTATCCAAAAGATAAGGTGTCATGTTGGGGCAGCAACACTGCACTGCATAGCCCCAAGCAAAAAAATGGCATTTGGTAAGAAGATGTGTGCCTGTTTTGCTCTATCGTGGTCCTGGCTTTCCTTGGGTCAAGTGGCTTACTTTTAGGCCTCCTTCTTGCAAGAAAATTATCTCTAAAAGGCTCTGTGAATTCAGGGGCTGAGGGAGTAATACTGGCTTTGGACTTTTGTTCTGTGAAGTCTGGGGATACGTTACTTTCCTACACAAGTCAGAGAAGGAAACTGTTTCCCATATACAGTATGATACTACCCTACTGCAGGGGCTTCCAGAATGACAGAATTTGAAGAAATAGGCTTTCCTATCTTAATGGCCAGAAAATACAAGGAACCTTTAGAAATCATTCAAACTACTCTCCTTCCTGTATCTTAAATCTACTTTGTGCCCTTTATATAAAACCAAACAGAAAAGATCTGGAAAGGAGACCTCTCCTCCCTCTAAATTACTAGCCTACTGGGTTTTATTTCAGAGCACATGCAAGGTGTGGTGACAGTGTGGTAAACAGGCGGTTGGCAACAGACACATCTCTCCTCAAACTTTACCAGCAGGTTGAAGAAAGCTGCCGGCTTGATGTCTATGTAGTAAGAATCTGAGCCCTGTGCTATCTGTGATCCATACTTTAGCACCAGCTTCTTTCCACTTCACCTTCTAACATCCAGATGCAAAGGAACTGGTGTCCAGAGGTGAGCGGCATTTGTCTGGAACTTGCTGTGTCCTGAGTTTTCCTCATTCACAAACATTGCTTAACAGACTAAACTTTCTTTCTTCCACAGTCACAATTTTATTTCCCGATGGATGACAGAGACTCCTTCATTTTTTTGGTCATTGTTGGGATGAGGTGCATGTGGTCATCCACACACTTGGCCACACAGCTGTCCAGCTGTCGCTTCACCTGCAGCTCCTTATTTCCTGCATCTATCGAGTCTTTGGCTTTATCATTGCAATGCATGGTGCACCGGGCCAGGCGGTCCTGTGGTGAGGAGAAAGAGAGAGGGGAAGGCTGAGACCCTGGCTTCCATCATCTGAGTGTTGGTCCCATATTAGGTCTTGGGCTACAGGCTTCATACAGATTGTCTCTCTGCCAGTTACTAAGTGCAGTATTTTCTTAGCTAAAACAGAAGATACCACTGGCAAGGCTCAGACTAAGCACTGTTAGAAAGCAGAGGAATGAAAAAAAATTTAAAGATGCTGGCAGCAAACAAAAGACTATTGTTAGGTTTTTCTTTTCTTCCATTTTCATGTGTATTTGTGGATGTGGAGGCCCAAAGTACATGTCGGGAAACATCTTCCATTGCTTTTCTACATACTCACTGAAGCAGACAGGGGCTTCTAACCAGACCCAGAACTCACTGATATGGCTAGTCTTGTTTGCCAGCCTGCTCTAGAGTCTCTGTTTCTGCCTTCTGAGGCTGGAATTGCAGGTGAGCTGCCATGCCAAAAAAGACAATGGTCTTTGGTAAACTGAACTCTGGGCATGTTTGTGTGGCAAATGCTTTCTTTAACCCCAGAACCATTTCTCTAGCAGACATTTTAATTCTTTTTTTTTTTTGGGAAGGGGGTTCAAGACAGGGCTTGAATATGGCTGTATTGTTTTGGAGGCTGTCCTGGAACTCGCTCTGTAGACCAGGCTGGCCTCGAACTCAAAGAGATCCACCTGCCTCTGCCTCCCGAGTGCTGGGATTAAAGGCGTGTGACACATTTTAATTCTTTAATGTCTGTCCTTGCTACAGGAAAACAATTCAAACATTTGTCAAGCATCTACTATGTTCCAGGCTGTCTTCTAATGTGAAATAAATACAGAAATGAATGAAGGATAAATGTTCCTGCTCACATGGAATTTACAGTCCAGTGTAAAGATGTTAAGAGAGCGGGATATGTTAATCAGGATCTCAGGAGAAGGGTCTGAAGGCAAGTACTATCAGGAGTATCAGATATCTTAGCTTCTCATGACCATACCGTTACCTATACTTTAAGATCAAGAAATGTAAAAAAAAAACCTACTAGGCGTGGTGGCACAAGCCTTTAATCCCAGTACTTGGGAGGCAGGTGGATCTCTGAGTTCATGGCCAGCCTAGTCTATAGAGAGTGTTCTAGGACAGTCAGGAATACACAGAGAAACCCTGTCTCAAAAACCCAAGAAAAGATAGCAATTACATATGCACAAATGTCTCAAAATAGTTTAAATAGGTTTGTAATTTTTTTGTTTTTTGTTTTTTCGAGACAGGGTTTCTCTGTGGCTTTGGGGGCTGTCCTGGAACTTGCTCTTGTAGACCAGGCTGGCCTTGAACTCACAGAGATCCGCCTGCCTCTGCCTCCCAAGTGCTGGGATTAAAGGCGTGCACCACCAACGCCCGGCGGTTTGTAATTTTTTTTAATGTTGTGCTGAATGTGGTTCAAAGGTCACCAGTTGGGCATTCCTGCTATAGGATATTAACAGTTATGAGAAAAGAAACCAGGACCAATGCCAGCCTGTGTACTCCACTGGGCAGAGTCTGGAAAGGGGAAAAAGTCAGCAAAGAAGGCAGAGATAAATGGCCTGGAGGGGAGCAAACCAGGAGTAAGGTGTCCTGTGTTCAAATGGTTAAAATGCTTGAAGGAGAGGAAACTACTGTGTAGACAGGTCAAGTCAAGGGCCGAGCACTGTTGGACCTAACCCCATGGGTACCCTCCTCCTCATCACCATGAGTAGCTCTGCAAGTGAGAGTTAGCATGGAGTGATTGTAAATCGAAAGAGAAATTGACATAGCAACCCAAGAACCAATTTTTTATTTTTGGTTTTTCCAGACAGGGTTTCTCTGTAGCTCTCTAGTTCCTATCCTGGAACTTGATCTATAGACCAGACTGGCCTCTGCCTCCCGAGTGCTAAGATTAAAGAGTGTACCACCACTTCCATTGGACAGTTTAAAAAACATTTTATATTTGTGTCCCTGAATATATGTATATGCACCATCTGCAGGGATCAGAAGAGGTGTCATATACCATGGAATTGGAGTTACAGATGCTGTGAGCTGCCATGTGGGTGCTCTTGTTCACTGAGCTATCTCTCCAGCCTTGAGCTACTGGTGGTTAAAGGCTGCTGCAGGAAGAAGACTGATTTTTCTTTAGTGATGACACCACTGTTAAATTGCCCATGCTGCAATGAAAAAAGTCCCATGTCCATGCTCATGCAATCAACCAATCCAGAGGAAACAGTTAAAAAAAAAAATAGGAGGAAGACTTGTAAAAATGGGTCCAGGAGATTGGGGGGGGATGTTTTCAAAATACATTCCATGTATGAAATAGCCAAAGAATGAATCAAAAATTGAGTTTATATGTTTTACTTTTCTTGGTGATTCTACCTGTTTTGTGTATGAGTGTTTGCCTAAACATATGTCTACACCACATGTGTATAGTGACCACAGAGGGCCAAGGAGGGCTTCAGATCCCCTGTTACTGCAGTTGTAGATGGCTATGAGCTACCATGCAGGTGCTGGGAATTGCCCCTCTGAAAAAGCAGCCAGTGCTCCTAACTGCTGAGCCGTCTCTACAGCCCCAAGTGAAGGAGTTTTATCCTACACAGCATAGAATGTAATTGGCACTCAGCACATCAAATGACAACCAAAGCAGCATAAGGAACTTGGCTATAAACTCCCTTGGTCACTTTCTATTACTGTGGAAAAACTACATTTAAAAAGCACTCAACTCCCAGGGCTTTTTCCAAAATTTCAAATCCCAAGAATACCAGTTAACCAAAGGACTGCCACCAGTTCTAACAGAACCAAGGCCCTGAAGCAGAATGCTTCTCATTTCCCGCCAAAGAGCTGTCAAGGACTTGAGAACTCTGAGGCATTCCTCACCTGGAACCTCTCCAGCTCACTGGTCACCAAGGCCTGGGCTTGAGCCAAAGGCGCATGGCAGCGCTCGATGCATTGGTGCACCTGCTGCATAGACGCCTGGTTGTCCTCACAGCAGTTGGCACTGCACCGGAACATGAGGCCCTGGGGAGCAAGGGCAGAGTCTGGTTAGAAAGGAGGACTCCGGGGACCGCCAGCCGCCAAGAACTACAAGGATTTGGAGGCTACATCTGTACCTGTATGTCCCTCGCCACTCTCTGCTTCACTTTCCCTGCGAATATCATCAGGGCTTCATAAGTCTGGGACGACCACCCGACCTAGCACTTGCAGGATGAGGTTATATGTTCTTCGGAGAAAGCTTGCCTAATTCTAAGACAGACCTGTGTTCCATCCCGCACCGCATAAACACCAGGGTGGTGTCTCATGCCTGTAATCCCAGCACTTCGAAGGTGGAGGAAGGTAGATCAGGGATTGGAAGTCAACCTGGGTTAAACGAGACGCTGTCTGTTGCTACTAGCTCACTGGTACGTAACGCACCCAAGACTGGGCGGAAGAAAACAAGTTCTGAAAACCAGGTATCTGCAGCAGAGTTCAGAGGTCGGCTTGGTTAGTCAACGCCCCACCAGGGGACAACCTACACAGAGGACGGTGGGGTCACAAGTTTAAGAGAAGCCAGCAAGGAAAGGGAGGCGGGGCCGCGCCCGTGGTGTTCAGGGATCGTGACATCTAACCCAGCACAGGACAGCTCGAAGAGACTTCGGCCTGGTGGTTCTCTTGAGCTGGGCCCTTCGGGCCTCGTGCTGGATCACTCAGCGGCGACCGAACACATATAACCAAAGCCAGGCAGGAAGAAACGGCCCCAGCGCGAAGACCCTGGGCTCGAACGTCACCGCCTCCACCCCGCCCGAGCTTTCCAATCCCACCCCAGTGCGGGGCCGCGTCGCTACCTGCATCTTCCGAATGTTCTCTCTCTCCACACTTTTCACCATGGCGTCCACAGCCTCCTGTACTCGGAGCTGCTGCACCTCCGCCATGGCGAACTCGAGCCGCGCCGCGCCGCGCCGGCGCCCGCGTGCACTCGCTGAGCCCCGCCCCCTACCTCACACCCCGCCCCTCTCCGCCCCCTGCGCCTGTGCCGGATCCTCTAGTCGCTCCGCCCCTACATCAAGCCCCGCCCCTCAAGCCCCGCCCTCCCTAGCTTCACCTCGTCCTCTAGCCACTCAGTCTCGCCTCTTCACACTGAACCCGACCCCCCGCCGGGTCACCGCGAAGTCTGTCGGGTACCTTGCCCCGCCCCCTGGCCATCGCGCAACTTGCTCTCAGCACGCACTCCCTTTCCCGGCCCTTATCGCCCCCTGGTGTCCAGACTGCGCACGCCGTAACTTCTTCATTAGAGCCACGCTTTTGATGGCCAGAGAGCTCCCGGCGGGTCTGCCTTCTTTTCTTCCTCCCTTTTCCTCTCTCCTTCTGTTCCTTCCAATTAAAAACAAAAAGAAACAAAAAATTAATGTAATTATCAGCTCTTGGGTGCACAGTTTCTTTTTGTTGTGGAGTAGAACTGGATGTATATACCACAATTTGTTTACTTAATTTCCCAGTTGGTGTACATTTTTGTACAGTTACTAGTTACTATGAATAAACGGACTCTTGAGGAAGTTTTTTGTAGATATGGATTTTCTTTACTTTTGGGTTAGGGTTAGGGCAGATATGCATTTCTGCATGTAGTTGTGAAAGGAATTAGCCTAAAGAGCAATGCGGGTATAGGGAGGCCTGTGGATATCGAGACTATAGAGTGTATATGCTAGCAATAGCGAGTTGTTTCTGAACTCCTAGATTGCTTTTATCAGCCATGTGCCCTCACGCTCTCATTTCTATTGTCTTATGCTGTCATCTGTCAAACACACGTGGCCTCTGGTCTACGTAGGGGCGGGGTGCAGAGAGGAGCATCCTAGGGAAGGAAGGGGGAAGCTGTGGCCTGTGTTGGAAGGGCTGGGCTGGAGGTGGTCCCACTGGAGAGAAGGGAGGAGGCAGTCCGAGTAGGAGGTGAGATTGCATTGAATCGTTGGGTTGAACCAGAAGTCCTTGCCTGACACTCAAGATGAGGAAGAGAATGCTAGACAGGCACGGTAAGCTGCAGTGAACAAAACAGAGAAAAAGGTTAAAGCTTTTGTGGAAATCTGGAGCGGAAAAAGAGGCGTGTGAGTGCGGGAGACTTTAAGTACTTACGGCCACTGGCCACTAGATGGCAGGATAATTCCGGTTTGAGGTAGGGAAAGCCTGCCACAATCCATTGTTCTTTGAGCAAAACTGGGCTTCTTTATGGCTGGACTGGGATTGGGGGCAGGACATGTTCACTATTTCAAGCCAGGCTTCCAGAGGACTTCCAGGAGCAGCTAGAGTCAGGACAATGACAGCGGTTACCAATAGTCCAGATGTTCTGCAAGTACTTTGTTTGGGGTCTGAAGTGGGTTCTTCACTGAACATTTTTCTCTCATTGGGCAGAGAATAACAGGCAGACAAGGTAAAGGTTCTAAAAACTTTAAATCCTAGTGGGGCAAGATGCTTCACCCAGCCAGAGTGACACCGGACTCTGTCATGAGACTGACTTCATGGTTCCAGAGCCCATAGAAAGTTCTTTATAATAGTCTAAACCTTCTCTTTTCCCTCTATTCCTAAAATGTATTGTGGAGCTTCAGCAGCCTCTTCTACATTAAGGCTCAGTTAGTCATACTGAACTGTGGTTGAAAGTCTTTGTTAACTCGACTTTGCAAGACAGTGTGACTCTGTAGTATTTATGGAAAGTGATTCCTAACATGTGTCACAACATGGGCCTGCCCTTTAGGACAGTGACCACTTTTTAAAGGCCAGATCTCACAGCCTGAAGACAGTAGACTAGGCCTCTCTGCAGCTATCTGTGGGACCAAGAGTTAAGAAGCTAGCTGTCTGTGCTGTGGCCTCTGAGTAGTCCCTGACTAATGGTCCTAACCAGCACTTGGCTCCTCCATCCTCTTTGTAATGGATTCTGTGTTGAACTAGTTTATGTGGCGTGAAATACCCCTCCATTTCCTCAAAACTTAGATAAAAAGCTCATACTTTCATTGTTCATGGGATTGCTTTGGAGACTTTCTCTGAAGAGGCTCATCTGCCCCCACCCATGCCTCTCCTGGCAGCTGTCTTTGTCTCTCCCTCATTTATTTATTTGTTTTTTTTTTGAGACAGGGTTTCTTTGTATTGCTTTGGGGCCTGTCCTGGAACTCGCTCTGTAGACCAGGCTTGCTTCAAACTCACAGAGATTTGCCTGCCTCTGCCTCGTGAGTGCTGGGATTAAAAACATGTGCCCTCTGTGAGTTCGAGGCCAGCCTGGTCTACAGAGCGAGTTCCAGGACAGCCTCCAAAGCCACAGAGAAACCCTGTCTCGAAAAACCAAAAAATAAAAAAATAAAAACATGTGCCACCACCACCTGGATTTATTCTCTTTTAAAATACATTTATTTTATGTGCATGTGTGTGTGCCTGAATACATGTATGTACACCACATGCATCAGGAACTCATGGAGGCCAGAAGAGGGTGTCAGATCCCCTGGAACTGGAGTTACAGTAGGTGCTGGGAATTGAACCTGGGCCCTCTGCAAGAGTGGTAAGTGCTTTTAACTGCTGAACCACTTTTCCAGCCTCATCTTGTACTCATTAATAATAAAGCCCCTCTCGAATTTTTTTTCTTTTTGAGACAGGGTTTCTCGGTAGCTTTAGAGCCTGTCCTGGAACTTGCTCTGTAAACCAGGCTGGCCTCAAACTCACAGTTATCTGCCTGCCTCTGCCTCCTGAGTGCTGGGATTAAAGGCATGCACCACAATGCCTGGCGTTATTTTTCAGTGTTTGAGACAGGATCTCACTATGTAATTCTGGGTGGTTGAAACTAATAACTGTGTGACCTGGATGTAGAACAGGTTAACTTCAAACTCACAGAGGCCCATCTGCCTCTGCTTCTTGAATGCTAGGATTAGAGGCATGTACCACACTTAGCTGCCTCTCCAGGTTTTAAAGGGAAACCTTCTTCTCTTCTGGGGTCAGATGAGGTCTCCACTTGCTCATATATTCAGTGACTGTATGGAAATGGAAAAGGAATGAAATTAAAACACAAATACTATGACTTGAGCAAGTCTGAGGGCAGAGAGGGGGGTTATTGACAACAGAGCCCTCAGATAGGTTGAATTCTCCAGGGAAGAGGCATGTACGCCTTTAGAATTCCAAGGTGATCGGACTCGAGGGCTGATGGCCTTGTGGTATATCTTGTAACAGAAGGACTCAGGCAGCCCGAGGCACTCCAGGGCTCGGGGCTCAGTGTGATTAGCAGCTGTCTCCCAATAGCAGGAAACATGCAGTGCCTCTGATGCCTCTGTGTGGGGTCTCCAGTTCCCACCTAGTGAAAGCAGTGCTGTAGGAATCGGAGCAGAACAGATCGTGATGGAGCAGAAGGCACTGAATTAGTACATCACACACAGTAAGGGTCAAGTAACTCTTCTGTGAGAGTTTAGTTCAGGGGTGTGTGTGTGTGTGTGTGTGTGTGTGTGTGTGTGTGTGTGTGTGAGAGAGAGAGAGAGAGAGAGACAGAGACAGAGACAGAGACAGAGAGACAAACAGAGAGAGGTGCACAGTTTTAAATGCAAATATCTCTCTGCTTTTTATGATTTTTGTGTGTGTATATGTATAAGCATGCATGAGCTTACTTGGACCAGATGCATACAGGAGCCCTTGGAGACCAGAAGAGGGTACTGGATCATTTGGAACTGGAGTCACAGGCAATTGTGAGCCACCATGTAGGCTCTGGGAACGAAACAGTGTCATCTTCAAGAGCAAGCCTTAGCTGGGTGTTGGTGGCTGTGAGTTTGAGGCCAGCCTGGTCTACAGAGTGAGTTCCAGGACAGCCTCCAAAGCAATACAGAGAAACCCTGTCTCAAACAAACAAACAAACGAACATAAACGAAAACAAAACAAAAAAAGAGCAAAACTTCTTAACTACAGAGCCATGTCTCCAGCCACCCCTTCTTAAATTTCTTTTTGAAATTAATTTTAAGTGTGTGTAGGTGTGTGTGTGTGTGTGTGTGTGTGTGTGTGTTTGTGTGTAGGGGCATGTGAGTAAAGGTGCCTGGAGAAGCTAGAAGAGGATGTTGGATTCTCTGGAGCTGGAGTTAGAGGTGGTTGTAAGCTGCCCATTGTTGGTAATGGGAACTGAACTCAGGTCCTTTGTAAGAGCAGTGCATGTCCTGAACTGCTTAGCCATCTCTCTAACCCCCCAATTACGGTCTTCTACTCTGGATTATGATCAGGGTTGATAAGTCCGGAGCTGAGCAAACACAGTCTGAAGATTCCATCGTGAGCTGAGCATCAAACTGCTCTGTGTTCTCAGCCTCTAACTACGCAGCCTCCAGTGATGGAGCCACCCTTACCCCCTTCTGTGAAGTGTGGACAGTATTATTAACTCCTAGGTGTGGTGATGGCTGTGAGTTTGTGTCATGCGGAAAAGGTAAACAGTTATTATTGTTGCTGGAAATTTTGTGTT